CGAATAATGCCTCAGTATGAATGACTTCCTTATTTGAATAGTTGCGCTAGGTATGTTGGTGCATATTTAATTACACAGAGCGTAATCTAAACCGCTAGCATCCTTAAAGTATTCTACCAGCAAAACAGAACATTTTTACCATAAAAAACAATAAAAAATTTTGAATGTAACACCGCGCACTCATGTGTTAAATTAGTAAGGGAGGTTCAAATTTCATTGTCGTTTTTGAATTTTTGATTCATGAAATTTCTATTCTATAATATATTCTATATCATGATTCGTTAGGTAAGGTATAAACGAATCTATAGAATCGCTTTTATTTATTTAATTAGATGTTTATGTGCTGGTAAGTAAAGTAAGGTAATGCCTAATTACAACGTGATTGTGTATTAGCGATTAAATAAGAACAATGTAAAATGAAATACGAACTACCTATATTTTAATCTGTTGCCCCTTGCCGTCGTCCGGTAAGTCACGTAGAGGGCTTCGACACTCTCGACGACAGATGGTAACACCATCCCATAGTAGCATTTATTCAGTTTTAACAGTTGCGGTTTTGCTGACGTAAACAGGTACTCGACGTATGTTCGATTAATAATCATAAAAATCCTATGTAAAAATTATCAAGCTATTATAAAAATATAAAAAAAATATTTTTTCTCAAATTAACTAATTGAGAATTGAGAATAATTTAGAAAATTTACCGAACTCGCCACCTCGTTTATGCATGCTGAGTAGTGATTTATCGCTACGCGGAGGTAGTCTATTTAATATATTAATACTAAAAATATATACATATATAAATATGTATATATTCACTTTATTGTACGTATGCATATCTTTGTATGTATTTAAAAAAAGAACAGAGTTTCGTGTCTCAGGGAAACTGTTTATAATTACTCTTCTCCATTCAAAGGTTGCCTGGATCTCTCTTAACGATAAGGCCGCCCATTGTTATCTATCGATATCTATCTATATTTGTTTCGATTTTAATGATTAATATTAGTACACCGCGCGTTATTGTGAATTAATCAATGTTTGATATAATTAAACCATTAATATATAGTCATTAAAATAATTTGACACGTGAAGAGTACTTACTGTTCTTTATGTGAAGGTCGGATAATAATCGCTTCGTGTCTTGAAGATTCTAGTATCATTAAGATTTCCTCGTAGCCTCAAAAGATAAGCGTGACTTCAATGCTGATCTAAAATAAATAATTTTCTGTCACACGATCCATATTGAGACCGAATGTCACAAGTACACAAATTTATAAGAAAATATATTGTTTTGCTCCTATCACCTTTTACCGGAGCCATTCTTCTTATCGGAATTGGTATTCTAAACTTATTTGAGAAGATATCTACTAAAACAAGTAGTTATACTTGCATAATTACATTTTGGTCTAAAGGGGATATAAGGGATATAAGGTCGACATAAAGCCGTTAACTGTCCACTGCTGAACATAGGCCTCCCTCTTAGGGGTTTTCTTACATAAAAAACATAATAATATTACAGTTTTTATTTGACTTACGCTGTGATAGATGACCTTCACGCTTCACTGTGTTTACAAGAATATGGTGCAAGAAATGTTATATATTTTTGTAATTTTATAATAATCTATATAGAAAAAGAGATATAACCGTCTGGTCGACGAATAACTGAAGCTGCTAAGTCTAGAAACATTTTTTTTATACCACTTAGAATGGCAAACAAGCTGACGGCCCACCTGATGGAAAGTGGTAACCGTCGCCTATAGACATGAGCAGTACCATGGACATAACAGTACATACACATACTGTTTCGCCCATGATACCCCCCCATGCGTTGCCATTTCTGAGGACTCAGGTGTTATTCCTCTGTACCCAGTAAATTCACGCCATATCCCACCCTTCAAACCGAAACACAGCTATGCAAACACAACTGCTTCACGGTAGAAACACGAATGGGACAGAGGTACCCAAGCAATCAAAAGAACACTAAAAAGGGGTTTTTTGAAATTTCCAACTCCCACTTCAGTTTCTTTTTTGTAACACATAAAAGATATAATATAATAGAAGTTATAGTTTTTGCTAATTTTAAACTGATTTGGATGTTTCTTTTGGCAATTCATAAGATTTTTTTCCCGTGTTAGTCCTATAGTAAAGATCCTTTTCTGACCTCTCCTGATTGAAGTTAATGTATTTTTTTTGCGTTTTTATATATTATAATTAAATAGTTTAGTAATGACACGCTTAACTTAACATAATAACAATGCCGTCTCACGATTTTAGTTTACGATAATCTCCGAAATCACTCAACCGATTTTAATGAAGTTTTGTAAATATGTATTGGTTGGTCCAACTAGAGGGATTACACAAGATAGTTTTCATTCCGATAAATAACCGTCAATATTTGTTACGCATAAAAAAAAGTTAGCCGGATTTAGTAGCGTAGCTATAACATACGTAATCTATAAATCAACTTTAGCAAATTATATTCATTGGACCTAGTTATGTAGAAAACAGCCGTTTGAAACCAGCGACTAGAAAAACAAAATTCTTTTTTTAAAATACATACAACCCATGTTACTGGCTGATAACGTAGCTTTCTGGGGGGAAAGGGATTGTTAGCAATAGAGTTTGACAGCCCCATTGCTAGCAATAAACCTTATTAGGTCGACCTCCTAGTGGTTTCCCCCGGAAACCATCGCGAACAATTCTTGTTGAATTCGTCATAATGGGCTAACTGACCTACTTCATCCTCACCTATCATCTTTCACTGGTGCCCCGCCGTTGTATACCGATAGCGCGGGTGGGGTTACCATTCCATTATCATCAATAAAAAAAAACGTAGCTTTCTATAGTTGTAAGAATATTTAAAAACCGTTAAGTACTTTTTGTGTTTATCCATTATACAAAAAACAATCAGAATTTTTCTCTTTATAATATTAGTTCAGAGGTTTATAAGAGATGGCTGTTTTCTGCATAACTAGTTTGCTTTTTCGAAGCATCGTTTAAAAAAAGTTAATAGGTCTTTTATGGGAATGGGCATTAAATGTTATAATAAGATACCGAAGGATATTTTAATAAATTTAAAACTGTTATTATTAAGAAATACTTATTGAACAAAGCCTATTACACTATAAACGATTATTTGAATGACAAGCGTGCACGGTGTTAGTCGATCATGCACGGGATTTTTAATGGTCATGTAATTTTAGACATAGTACATTTAAATAAATACACATAATGTTCACAGAGATTTGAAAGAGTAACTGTTGAGTTTCTTGCGGACTCTTCTCAACAGATAACAACATTCCGAACCCTGCAGTAGATTTAAAAAAAAATGATGATTTAAAAGTGCTTGTAAACAAGTTTATTTGAATAAAGTTGGTTTGAATCTGAATTTGAATTCAATTACTTAAATGTTAGATTTAGCAGGTGTTGTGGCATATTTGAATATAAAACATATATTTACAATGCATAATATTATATATATTTCCGTAACTGGTTCATCCAAGCTGCGAAGGAGACATTTTTTTTTATTTCCGTAGTTTAGCAAATTATTACTTCTTTGTATTACCATGTTATCAACAGAATTTAAAATGTTAAACGGATTTACATTTTGTTGTATTAACTAATATTAAAATTAACAATTATTCATTGAAAATTAAATATTAAAATACACATGTAAGTACAGCAATAGCTATCGTAGTAATTAACAATTTGTACTTAATAGTCCAAGAGCTGGCAATATGTTTTTTGTAATGTACTTTTCATGGGTGTATTATTTATTTATTTATTTAACTCTTTATTGCACCATAAACAAAAATATACAATGACAATTGAACAATTCAAGTGAAATACAGTAATGTAAATACAGATTGAAATATACATATAAAGGTAGAAAAGGCGGTCTTATCGCTAGGGCAATCTCTTACAGACATATTTTATTTCGGTTTGAAGGGTGAGCTATAACAGTGAATTCACAGGGTATAGATAAAATGGCAACGTATGAGGGATGTCACAGGCGTCGTAGTATATTCTAAAATTTCTATAATGCTGATGTTATTTATATACGACAGCTACCTTTTAACATTAGATGGGCCGGTAGCTTGCTAGCCATTTCATGTCGCACAAACAATAAGTATACAAATGAACGCAGACGAACAGAGTTGTCATGCAAACTTGAACTTATAATGTTTCTTTAAACACGTATAAATATTTGCTATGTAAATGACCTGTTACTAAATAAAAAAGATGATGTTAATATTTGTAACTTAATGACGGAAGTTCAAAATCAAACATTAAATGTACTTATTGTATTATTGTTTATATATATAATCGATATTTATTTATGGATTTTTGTTCGTAATGCTCCTAATTTCCTAATGTACATTAGTATAGCTGTCTAGGAATTATTATAACAAATAAATATTTGTAGGTATCATATATGTAAAATAAACTAAACATATGTAAACTATTTTAGTGTTCACAAAATATGTAAGTAATCCTTAAAGTTACATTATCGAAAATCATACATACATAAAAAGTAGAGTCGTTAAATGCATTATTTTAAAAGAAACTTTAAAAAACATACAAAATTTTGAGTCTCTCATACTATACTGGATGTGTCGTGTAAGTTTGAGAGATTTAAAATTTTTTGTTGTAGGTTTTGTGTCGTAGGTCGTACTATGACCTATGTTGTTTTTGGAAAAAGTAATGAATGCTAATGACTTCGATTTCACCTTGTGTAATGCAATTTTAAAAACCATACAATGGACGAACTATTTAATTCATATTCATAAAAGATGAAATACTTCATTTTACAACGTCGTCTCTTGTGCTATACGGCACATTCTTATTTAACAGAATATCTAGTTTATTGTTTAAAATTAACAATAGGGTGGAATTGTTGTGAGCTCTCATACTATGTTACTCATTGAGAGCTTGCTCCGATATCTGTTATCTGGTGATTTCATATAAAAACAGCGCGGGCGCAGAGCCCAATATTTTGCAAGCATTCACCAATTCACCAGTCGGTGGTCATCATTCGGTCACGACGGACGTTACTAGGTATAAATTCGAAACTTAAATAATGTTACGATAATTGCATTTGACATACTTTTTTTTTTAATTAAGTGTTTGTGGCCAGTCTCATCGTAGTGGTTTTTATAGTTTTATTTTAATTCCATTAGTGTTCTAAATTGAAATTATTTACTTAATTTATTTTTAATACGCGTAAAATAAAATTTTAATTAAAATTCGACCGCATCACTACCTGCTACTGTACAAGCGGCAAGTTTTTATGGTAAGCTATTGTTTTAACTTTAATTAATTTTTATCTAATGTATAAACGCGATGTAATCTCCTAATGGCATTAATTAAACAATACTTTAATATCCGTGAACTCTGTTTCTAGATGCGATTATGTTATGTTTTATGCAACTTAGAATGGCAAATTCGATGACAGTCTATTTAATGAAAAATAGCTACTGTCGCTTATAGACAATAATATTAATATGGATATATATTTATTTTTATACCACGAAGGTGGCATATAAGCATACAGCCCGCCTGATGGTGAATGGTTATTGTGGATTATGGACGCCTGTAACACTAAGAGTGTTACGTGCACGTTTTTAAATCCTGAAGAAAACTTAATACCCCCTTTTTTAAGAACCTCATTCTGTAGTCTCTAGGGGAAACCTCGGCAGGAAGCTCATTCCACAGCCTTAGCGTTCGCGGGTAAAAATCGTTTGAATTATAATGCGGTTCCTAAAGATGGTGTTATGCTTCCTTATCCTATAATTTCATTGCCATATCCCACTCTGGTTTATAGGAGAAGCACAAGTGGGACAGAGGAGGTGCAATGATTTTTGAAGTGATAATTTTACCTATAGTTAGAAAATAAAAAAAGTCGTATCCTAGTTTTGAAAGGGAATGAATTTTTTTAACACTGGCCAGCGCTGTTATAAATTGAATTCGAATCGAATTTAGATTTAAATTTAGAATTAAATTTTAATTAGGTAATGCAGAAATTGATAACTGCACAATTTGGGAATAGAACGAATTCACAATAATGTATCTTTGGAGAAATTTGACTTTATCAGACTATTTTTGTTTGACTTAGGTAATTTTGGGTATGTTGTTAGAAAATTCAGTGGTAGTAACCATTTTTGGAATATCCTGTATTTTAAGTATGGGTGTACTCTAACGAGCAAAAAATTCGTAATTCGAATTTTAACAATTTTTCTAGATTAATCCAAAAAAGATTCACTGTTGTGATAGACGTCCTGTCTTCGGCATGACTTGCCTCAAGGAACTCAGGACGAGATCAAAATTGTATAATTTTTTTAAACATTTTCCATTAATTTGGTCACGTGCGTTTATAAAAAGAATAAAATATTTTATTTTCTTCTTTAGACCAAATTATTTTATAAATAAGTAAATACACTTGGATTTATTTATTATACACAAGTTCCAAACTAAATAGAGCTTCAAATAGGTCCTAAATAAATTATTGAAATACTTTTTGTTTTCGTATATACATTCAAACCCGTGCCTAAGGCCCGCTTCGGATTCGGACAGTATTTTTTTTAAATATAAGTAGTTTCTGAATTTACCCATTATACACTTCAATTGAAAAAAAAAAATATTTTTATAATATTAGTATAGATTATAAGAACATATAACATTTAGCCCAATACAGACAGACATACTCATGAATACTAATATAAAAATATGTATTCTGTGGAACTCGAATTTAGGCCATTGAAAAGTACGGCGATATGTTAGTTAAACCAACAACAAATTTGCTATCACACTTCTTCATCGTCAACATATCTTTAACTTATACAATATAGTCTAACTGTCTATTGCTGAATATAAGCCTCCCTTATAAGCCGGGCTTTGCCAGTAGTTGCCAAGATTGGCAGCCGGGTTGGCAACCGCAGTTTGGCTTTGATGATATTTGGAAAGGGACGCTACTACTCATCCCTCGACTATTGAGTTTCCATAGTCTTCTCTTACGATACCTACAGGAAAAGGAGGAATAGCCTATTATATGCCGGGACCTCATGTTTTTCTTACTTATTAGTAAGGATTTAGGTTTATTTTCCTTGGGGAAATTCAGTTTTATGAATTAATTAACGTCGAGGTTATAAGTAAACTCACATAGTTATAATGTTAATAGGAATTATTGTAAGTTTGTTAGTGGCGTAATGGCAACACTAGCTCTTAACTAAAATAAAAAAAAAAATTGCAAGAATTTGCATAAAATGTTGAAGAAAGAAGAAATAACTTATATGCATTTGCAGTCGCTTATCAAAAACTCAGTGTAGGTCATCGAACTTTATTTAAATATTGCTATATTGATACCAGTTGGAACAGGTTTACAAATATTTTTATTAAGTACTAAAAGTTGAGTTTATTTTCAAAACGCTAATGGACGTGTTTTGGTAAAAGGCAAAGGGCAGCGTGTTTGTCGGCAAACGTTGTTATGACCCCTACCGCTATCTACATTCATGTCGGGATTATTGTTTCTTAATGAAATAAAAACTTATTCCAATATCTTTACTTGATACAAATAACAAAATACACATTTGAAAAATTTCCTTAAAATCAGTTAAACAGTTTCGAACTTTGAAATATTTGAATTGGCAGCTAGAAACAGTTTGTAAGGGAAAAAGAAAAATAGAGTTTTACACGTTCTTTTTTGGTAGAATTTTCCAATTATTTAGTTAACAATTTATTGCATTAATATAATAAAAATAATAAATATTAATGAGAAATGATACAAAAGGTGGCCTTATCACTAAGCTATCTCTTCCAGACAACCTTTGTTGAAAAGACATTGAGAAAAAAGACAAAGAGAGAAACAAAAGACGTAGAGGAAGTAGGTGGCGCACTTGTATATACTCGTAGATACTAAATTATAAATACATTGTTCTCTTTATAAAAATCTTCTTTGTACATCAACGTATATTTGAAAAAATAACGTTCTCGAATTTTACGCTTAGCAACACAGCGATTCAATTTTATATATATATATATATATATATATATATATATATATATATATATATATATATATATATATATATATATATATATATATATATAAAAATTGAACCAGGGGCGCTTGATCTTGACTAAAAAAATGCAACAATTATGTGGAAAAGAAATACTAATGACAAAAATACACTCTATCTAGACGACAGCCCTGCATCACACATACTTGCAGCCTCTCAAAGTCGATGGATCATAGTCTAACAATATACAGATAGATCGCCAGCAGTTCAAGTCTGAACATACCTGACGTAATCATTCGATTTGTTATTTACCTAATTTTTAAAGTGATTCTGTGATAAGGTCAACAAAACTTGGTTATTATATATATATATATATATATATATATATATATATATATATATATATATATATATATATATATATATATATATATATATATATATATATATATATATATATTATACATATTAGAATGGCAAACAAGCTGACCGTCTACCTGATAGAAAGTAGCGACCGTCGCCTATAGACATGAACATAGTAGAGTATACCGTGTCGCTCATGATACCCATATTACAGGTATATTACATTATAAGTATATATAGATGTAAATATTACTATTTTTTGACACTGACGGGGCACCAGCGAAGGATAATAGGTGAGGACGAAGCAGGTCTGTTAGGCCATCGTGAGGAATTCAACAAGAATTGTTCATGATGGTTTCCAGAGGGAACAACGTGGACATCGACCTAATAGGGCATATTGCTGGCAATGGGGCTGGTAGATTCCATTGTTAACAATCCCTTTCCCCCCAAATATTACTATTAGGAATTATACCAAGTTATTACAACTAAAAGATTTTAATAGTTTCTGAGATGATAATAGCGTACATTTATTTTATAGTTAGCGATAATAAAACATAGCTGGTAAATAGTTAATTAAGTATATATGTCATTCCTACATACTGTAAGTGCATACATATTATGTTCATTAGCTGACCAGATTTCATGCAATGTTATTTTATGAATAGATTTAACGATAATGTTTCTACTGATCAGCTTCCATCTTCCATCATTTTCTCAGCTCATTAATATCAAATTTAGATAAAATTTTCCAAATCAATTTTTTAAATGGGTGATAATGGACTGGTAACCCCGCATGCGCTATTGATACTACGCTGGTAGGGTACTAGTGAGGGGTGATAGGCGTGGATGAGGGGGAAATGGATTGTTAGTAATGAGGTCTAATAGCCTCATTGCTAGCAAATATACCCTCTCAGGTCAGCGATCTCCACGCCTGGAAACCATCATGGTTAATTCTTGTCGAAGTCATTATGGTGAGTCAAGTGACCTGCATCCAACTCCGCACTTTACTAAAACATGTTGTTTTAAGACAATAAAGTTATATAATAATATTTCAAAATATATAATATATGGTAACTACCACAAAATCATTTTAAAATCAATCTAAAACTTTGTATCAAGGAAAAATGTTTTTGTTCCATAAATGTATTTGTATCAAAATTATTTTGGCATTGTAATTATATAATTGAATATATCTTATAGGACGTTATAAAAAAAATTACATGCTACTTATTATTTTTATTGTAATTTTTTTATGCAACTTTGAATTAAATGGCAAACAAGCTGACAGACCACTTGATGAAAAGTGGTAACCGTTGGCTATAGACATGAGCAGTACCATTGACATAACAGAGTATACTATTTTCCCCATGTGTTGCCATTCCTGAAGACTCAGCTGTACCCGTTGCTCCTCTGTACCCTGTAAATTCACTGCCATATCCCACCCTTCAAACCGAAACATAGCTATGCAAATACAACTGCTTCACGGTAGAAACACGAATGGGACAGAGGTGCCGAAGCAAACGACTTTTGTACAAAGTCTCCCTCTGGTGAATTAGAATAAATATTGTTACTGTGAGATCTAAATTTATCCGAAATGTATCCAAGACTTTATCATTTTGCATGCTATTAAAACAATATGGCTAAATATGTGATTCTATAACACTAATTAAGATCTATTTCAATCTATACCACTACTTAATTTGAAAATAAATGAATTATAATAATAATAATATACTTTATTATTCAGACTACAATGTGGTCCATTTTGTTAGTAACAATTTTCTTACAAACTATGTCAGTAAAAAAAAGAAAAGCATTAGCATTATTGCAAAAATTATGCAAATAAATAATTATTATATTATATTATTATTCTAAAAATAAAATATAGGTTTGTACGTAGTACAGGACAAACCCA